TACATCCATTTTCAGCACCCTAAGGCAAATTCCTTCCTGATACCTATCTCAGTGGAAACTGAACCTTCAAATACCCTTATTTAAGTATTTTCTTCCTAAGGGTTATTTTTCCTGGTAAACAAGGCATGTTCAATGCCAGTCTGCCCACTGACCAAGCTATCTCAGGCAGGATCTTGGCTGTGGCTTGTTTCATGATTTATGGCAGCTCAGCTAGGTCAACAATAAATACTTTGAAAATTCACACCCTTTTCACGCTTGGTTTGCAGGTTCCTGACAAAAGTTCCTGTTTTAATTCAGTTGAATCATGACATTTAATTTCCTGTATGTTTACTGTTCTTTCTATCAAGCAAAAGGCAAATCCTAACCCTGCATGCTGATGAAAAGACCTTGCCTGCACTAGTTATCAGTTGCAGGCTACACGCTACTTTTGTTATTTTTTAAACTTGTGCACAAGACTACTGTCTTGTCTTGTGGTTTTAGATGTTTCAAAGTATGTTTTATTGAGTAGGGTGATAATGGAAAGGCAAAGTACAGTTCCTTGCTTTTTCCAGAGTTACCTGTACCAATCTCCCTGTAACCATGGGGCTGTTGCACTGTTCTGAAACGCAGCGACAATGGAAAAATTGGTGACGTACTAAGGCAGTACACTAATTGTAAAGCAACTTTGGATTAATGGGTAGTTCTACCTCCTGACTTGCAAACAAGGCCAGATATTTTAAACTAGAAAGAACCTGGAGCTTTGCAGGGAATTATTCTGGTGCTACTGCATCTCTAGTTCCTCTCTCAAATGCTAAGGGAGGCATTTGAATGAATGCTGGCACAAGCAGTGCCACCCAGTGTCAAGATGAGAATTACCTTGCTTATGTCCCAGCTTGTACTGAGTAAATGGGCCCTGCTTGCATCCTTAAAGCTGCTGTCTCTCGGGGCCCAAGGTTATGTCCACAACAGAACCTCTGTGGTTGAAGAGGCCGTGTTGCCCAGCTTGCCACGTACCCATCCACGGCAGCCTCCTTAGAGATCAAACAGCTGAAACTTTCCGTGGCTTGGGTCTTTGTTCTCCCCTAAAATGTGCCTGAACTTGAACACCAGCAGAGTAAGCACCAGGCTTTTTAAGCTATTCTTAAATGCGCAGCAGTTATACAAGGGATTCTCTTTCCTTTTGCCTTCTCTCAGTCTATTCTGTTTCTAGGTGTGCAGTTTAGCTTTTCACCAGGATTCCTTGAAAACGTTGATGTGACAATAGAGGAATTTATACTGCTCAACATTTCCTGTTGCATGCTGCTTGCTTAGGGCATTCCATTAGGCTATGATAGTATATCTTTATAATATAAGAAATTACTTTCCTTACCAGAAATAATGGAGTCATTCAGAACTTCCTCATCCTGATAAAAAACAGAGTCCTCCTTGAGCTCTGCGTTCATGATCATGTTCTCTTTGTTCTCATCTGACTCTTTAACTGAGTTCCGCTTATTTTCTGAATCACTGCTGTAACTCAGTGAGTTCTCCTTTTCTTTGTTGCGCTCAATGCTAGATGTTCTGGATGGACGGACATCCACTCGTTTTTTTGGAGAGCCTTTGCTTTCTCTTCCGTGGAAGCTGTGGGTAGAAGGTGCACAGCCCAGTTTTTACAAAAGACCGTTTTACTGCCACAGTAGGAATGTATATGAGAATGAGCAGCATGTTCTGTATCTCGTAAAGGCCAGGGTAGGGAGTTCAACATGGGACAACATGGGATGGCAATCTCAAGACTGTGTTGAGGATGGCTAATGCGAATCTACTTTCCTATGTCTGTCATAAAGACAAGGTATGGAAGGGTAGTGACTAATGTATTTCTTTGATAAATAGCCACATGCTACACTGTACTGATTAAAAAAACCCACACAGAACATCCTTCTAATGTAAAACATACATGGCATAGAACACTACCTTTCTGATATTTTATGATCACGACAAAGGTTTAACAGGACCTGGAAATAATATCGTATGAATCTATTCCCCATGACGATAGGTGTTAGCAAATTGAGAAATGTTACCAGCTTAACTCCAAAGCGCTGTGATGGAAAAGGTTATCTCTGTCCTCCTCTAATACACAGAAGGGCTTATAATGAAAACCAGACAAAGTACCCAATGTACTCCCACACAAGCATTTGTATTGAAAATGGATACCGTATATGCTCATGTATAAGCCCAGAGACATGTACTGAAACAGTAGCATTTCTTATATGTAATGGTATTTAGAGCATTTGCCTTAGCCACTCTATCTTGGTATCTTGTGGGGAGATTTTCTTTTGCAATAGGTCAAGGATTATCAAATGATTCTGATTGAAAACCTACTTCCATGTCACAGTAGCCTCCTTAGAAAGGAAGAACATACTTTGAAGTACCTGCCAAAGTAAGCGCTTTAACCAGGGATGGATGTTCAAAGTAGTGACATCGAGAGGAAGGCAAACCCAAGCTGTAGGAGTAGATAAAATGCTAATAACAGGACAGGGACATGTACCAAGAGAAATGTTTTGGTGGAATGACTCTCCTCATGCACCCATAGAGCCGAGAAGGCTGTAGGTACCTGTCCTGCCGGTGTTTGGTGGCCAGAGCCCTGTGGAGTTCTTCAATGACTCTGCTGGGAGGTAAAGGCAGGTGGACAGCAGCCAGGTGCGGGGAACCAGTTGGCGTTGTTACCTGTCCTCTGACGTGGGGATCTGAACTTTTCTGGCCAGAGGGATGGAAGAGGGCAGCTTGTCCTGAGATTTGGGAGGAACCAACAATGACATAATTCTTCAGGATGGTGGAAGGAGGAGATTTCATGGCTGGGTCATCTATTTCGCTTCCTGTTGTCAAGACACAAGAGAGTAAGAGGTTGTGCCATGCTGCTTATTTTTTGCATACAGTCTGCACTGAAATTAATTTTTTGTGTTGAACAGAGGAAAATGGTGTTTTGTTCTTGCTAGGAGGTAACTGGTTAAGCTGAGTAACTGTCTGAATTCAAAAGGCTCATACTATACAGATCCAGATCTTTGATCTAGAGAAATAGATGCCCTCCCTCCATTTCCCTCCTTTCCCACAGTATTAGATGCTCCTTTTTCACAGCCCACCAATGCATTCTTAATTGCCAGTACTGTTCCTCCTCACCACCGATGGCTTGTACTGCAGTGCCTTTCCAATCTAGCACTTTCTCTGCTGGACTCTGGCAGACTGTATTAAAATTTATGCAATGTGGTTCTCAGTCAGGACAAAATGTACCAGTGTCTGTTATCTGATCCTCTGTGACTGCTGCACAGCTTAGACCTCTGTCTTTCATATGCCAGTTGAGGAAATGCCAAAATCATTATAATATGAGGATCGTGTTTGCATAACAAAACTTGCCAAATGAAATCCAAATGAAAGGTGGTATTGAGAAGAGTAGGGCAGTCTAATATTTTTTTACCCCCAGATTCAGATTTTTTTTTTTAATGCCATGTAAGCATTTTATTGGGAGTTAGACTTTGATATATACATTTCTCTAGCACTTGAGTCCAAAACACAGTGGACACTTCCCTGGTTGTACAGTTCATAGTTTCATACGCTTAAGATAACCGAATATGTGGCCTGAAAAAGATGCTGGTAAGTTTTTCTGCTCCACAGAAAACCTTTCCTCTTACCCTTATAACTCTGGCACATGACGATGTTTACACCAATAGCTGAGTCTGCGTGTAAAAAGGCAGTGCAAGTTCTTCCTACAAGAGAGTATTTCTTTTCTCTTGTTGCCACCTAGTGTTCTAAACAGGAATTTAAACTGACACAGCTTGTAAAGCTGTTGTGCAAACATGTTTTTGCAGGTCACTTTTACTTTTTTAACTTTTGAGAGAAATCCTTCAGTTCGTAGCAGAGAAAAACAACTGCTCAGGCCAGGATCATCCTGAAGCACCCGTGTAAAAAGGACTTGGTTCTTGTTAGCAGGGTAACTTACTAGAAAACTGGAAAAGACAAAAGTAGGTTTGAATATTAACTTAAATTACTAAATGTTTTGTCTCAGACCCAGCATCCTGCATAACGGTTACCAACTGCATGCCTTTTCTTAGGGTCACTGCTGGAAATCTGGCACAGCTCAGTAAGGGTGGTGCTGTGAACAGAGCTGGTCATCTGAAGTTGGAGGGCATTACTGAGGACGACAACAAAAGCCCAAGTGGGAAGGTGAGCTCTTGTACCCATGACCAAAAGCAAACATTGAAAATTTGAGAGTGACAACACTAAGCCTGGTCTCTTTTTCACATTTGTGTGGGGAGGAGGAAAGCATCCTTCAATGAGGAGGGTTACATACACATTACAATCTTCTCTCTTATTCTAAGAAAGGTCTATCTTATTTTTTCATTTTTGGAAGGCATCTTTGCACGTATCTGTCCCTCCAACCCAGGACCCTAACCAATGGCCAGAATTTCACTCATCTCTCTATGCACCCAGGAAACAGAGGTCAAGCTAGTCCCAGAGTTACCCTATTTAAAATCTGAACGGGTCTGAAGGAACAGGGACATTTCTTCAAGTGTCAAGGTGCTCAATGTGCAGTGTTTTGGCAATGAGACACCTTCCCACCCCGGAGCTCCTCCTGCACTGATCCGGATGGTTGCTGAGGCCAGGAGACACCCAACCTCTGCTAAGGAAAGACAGGGTTTTTGGCACCCAAGGGGATTTTGCTTTTGTGCTACTGTGGAGATGCACAGAGGACATCTATGATTGATCATCGCCCATTGAGTCATGGCCTGAGAGGATGAAAAAACCCACCTCTTAAGTCACTTCATACTGCTTACAGTGAGAGAGGGTGTCTGTGTTTTCTCAGAGCAAGCACCGTGGGTCCAGCTCAACTCTCAAGCTGGAACAGGAGAATTTGTTTTATTTTCATACCTGCTTGTTCCTGGAACAGGTCAAAGGCCAATTTTGTCCTCCTTGCAGCTTGGGCCAATATTGAGAGTTTCCTTAGCTCACACCTTATTTGTCCTAATGACAGCCATTCAGTGAATAATCTTGCAAAGTGATATCTTGGCACCTTGTCCTGTTCTTTCTCTCTCTGTGATTAATTGGTGCTTGGCTTATTCCTCACTACTCTGCTAACAGCGTCTCTAACATTGTTAATGGAGGAAAAACTAAACACGAGCTTTTCAACCTCTTTTCCTCTTCTTTCATAATCGCTCTTTGTTTCTATCTCCCCATATATTTGTATTCCCCTTCACTCATTGACAGTATTTGTTCAGTCTTAACTTACCACTGCTTCCACATCCACACAAAAATAAACAAATGTATAATCACTCTTGAAAAAGGATCTATAGTCATTGGGAAAATTAAGAGTTGATCTTTGTGGAAAAATTTAAATGAGAATTATATACCAAAATTCAGAATACCTTGGTTCTTAGAGGAAATACTTTGATTAAGTAGCAAAATATCGAGACTCAAAATTCTGTGAAGTACCTAGTGGAGCTGTAATGTCATTATCCTCTATGGGTCAGGATTTCCAAATAGCCTACATCTCATGCAGAGCTGACCTTCTCATCAAGTGAGCAGAATCAAAGGGGTGTCCTAGTTGTGTCTGTTCCTGTTGCAAGGGGTCTGTCTTACAGTAGAGAAAGTTGAAGCAATCTGAATAAAAGCTCCCAAGAATACCATTTTGAATCCAGCTCCCACTTAAACTCTCGTAAGTATGGACAAAATATGGATATTTTACATCAGAAACAAATACTTGTGATTTTCCTCAAAAAGACTGAAACCCCCAATATTTTCTATGAACCCCAGTGGTCAAATCACAATGGCCCTCTGATATACTGTTACCTGGTGACTTTGAAAACCCTGGGTTTTGTGCCAGTGTGGATGCAAATCAGGGCTGAGATAATGGCTGTCATTTAAAAGTCTAAATATCCAACAGGTCTGATATTCAGATGTCAGGACTTGATTTTAATTTGCAATAAGGCCCTTTTCACTGCTTTTACCATATGTAGGGACCCTAAAATTGGAACAAACCAAAATCATAGTCATTTTAACACCCTTTCTGCAGTGCCAGAATGTTGGAAAATGTAACAACATTGGCAATAAATTAGAAAACCAGGCCCAGAGGAGTTACTGTGGAAACATTCAATGAAGCCTGGCACCGAGGATTGCTTTGTGGGAGCCAGGTGTATCACTTACGTGTGTTCCATGTAACTAGACCAGATTTCATAATTCTAGTTTAGATCTACCCTAGAGAGCAAAACTTCAGACAAAAACTTCTACAGAACCTATTGACTGGAACTTGGTTTTGGCTGTTGTACTGTTACCAGTGGGAGTCTAGGTAATGAAAACATTTAAAGCTTCCTGGTGTTTTCTGGCATATTGATATGAGCACCTGATTCAGCAAATGTTTACAGTTGGTTTGATTTGGTTGATGTATGTTTAGTGCAACAGACTTGCAACAAATCATCTCCTGAGAGATTCAGATAAATACGTGAAGTACAAAGATCAGTGCATTGTTAGCAAGCAACTGGACCGCTCAGTTCATGGAAATCATTAGCATTCTGTTCACTCAATAAAACTAGGCTGATTCACGGCAGTTCGCATCAATAGGCTTAAAAAAAGGATGTAAGAAAAAAACGATGCACTGTGCTGTGTAGGCGAACAACACATAAGAGATGGGAAAGTCTTTACTGACCCAAAATGACTGACCTGTTATGTTCTTTGTGATTTTGGAGATTGCCTTAGGTGGTGGTGCTGGGAGCAACGGAGGGCTGGGAAGCTGTGCTGGGTTTCTTTCTGTCTGATTCTGGGGGGAATCTGTCGATTCAGATACAAGTAAGGCTTGTGGACTGTCTTCAGATGCTGGCAGGCTGGCATCTTCTAATTCTTCCGTGGGTGCTGAAGGTTTCTTGGCTAGTAGGAAAATGAGTAAAATTAATGGAACATGAAGTTAATAATAATGATAGGCCAGGGGACAATGCCAGGAACATTCAGAAAAACAGAACACATGGCATACAGCTAGAATTAATTATAATTAAATAATTATTGTGTGAAATAACCAACCAGCCAGGGCTGTTAAAGCATAAAATGTATGAGGATATTGAAGAAACGTAAGTTTTGATGTTCCTGAGAAAACTGCTGAGCTTCCCTTACTTCCCTAAAGCCTTTTTATGTGTCTGGTGATGGGGTTTTTTTTGTTTGTTTGTTTTTTTGGTTTTGGTTTTTTTTTAATAATGAAAAAAGCAGGACAAAGTAATTTTTGAGAACTGCAATGAATTTTCTTACAGGATGCAGCTGTAGTGGCAGTTACTAAGTGTGTACTCATCTGTGCTATGAAGACACAGCCAAAAGGCAAAGAGCATCAAACCAGTAATATTACACAAAAGCTGACTTTCCAGTTATTTCTTGTACACATTTAGTTTCACAATTTAATTTTTATCTTATTTAATGCGTGACTTTAGCTTGCATCCCAAGTCTTCTCTGAATGTACCTGTCTACAGAACTGTTGAGTCTTTCCTGATGTTAAAGTTGATAACCAAGAAAAGCCTGCCATAAAAAAAGATTTGCCGTTGGATCTCAGCAGCTAGTGTGGACCAGAGAATTGGTGAAGTACTTAAGAAAAACTTCCTTCATCAAAGCCTTAATTTGAGATGGTGAAGCAGTGCTCATTTCAGGATTGTCTCCTGAAAGACGGCGAAAGCACTTACCTCTTAAACTTAGTGCAGGCTGAATCACTGAGCAGCTCATCACATTGACCTGTCTGTGATGAGAGTACAGGGGAATAGATCCAGAAAGGCATGTAGAAGGATATAGGTGGAATTTCAGTGATGAAGTCCAAAACTAACATCCTTGAATCCTACTTAGATACCAGCTAACTCTGGCAGTGCTTAAACACACACAGTGCCTCACAGTTTGACTTTCAGAGTCTGTTACATGTCCTGATCTCTGCCTTGGCATACATGGGTACCCACAGAGAGGCTGGAGCCTGACTGATCCAGGATCCAGCCATGGCCAGACTCTGTCCAAACTGAATTTGCAGCCATTGCGGGTTCAGTAATAGCTGATTATAGGATTAATTTGGGGTAATCAGTGTTTAAGTCTCCTCAGCATAAGAGGTCCAAAATGCTTGGGCTGGATAAATGGCAAATCTCATTCCTTTCAGCATTCTGGATTCTCTAAACAAAAGTACCTTCGCCTGCAAACCATTCTAGGGCATCTCCTAAAAACTCACAGCAGTGGGCACCCATCTTGGCTCAGTTTAATGTCGAGTTTGTAATACAAACTCTGTATTAATGAGCATTCAGCATCCTCATGTTCAGAGTGCATGGGGAGGCACCACAGCACTTACACTGTTGGAAACAATAGCATTGGCAAGATAATAGCATTTAATTTGTTGACAAACAGATTAATGAGTATGTCTAGAAGAGGAAGAAAGAGTCTTTATCATTCAAAAAACACAGGAAAGTAGAATAAATATGCATCTCTAACAGGAATTCTTGTGATATTTGGCTTGATAAGAAAGCTACCGTACGTGATGCGTGTTGCCTGAATTACAGAAGGAAATAATTTTTTGTTTTTTATAATATACTTAAATATAGGGAAATGCTTTGTTCCAGGCTGACATCATTTTATGGTTTTGTGCCTTCTACATAGAAGACAAAATGTGGAATAGAGAAAAAATGAAGCACTAATGGCTTACATTACAGGAAGATCAAGAGCTCCAGTAGATGCTAGTAGGTTGATAGGAAAATTAGTCACATTTGAGTGCATTCCCCTGAGTGGAGTGATACTTTCGTCTGGCAGTAACTTCACGGAAATCAGTAGATCTCCCTGTGACATGAATCACTGTTTGGTACGGATGCAGTAGTGGGACTTCTATAGAGAAGGTGGATCCAAAACACACTCGGCCTCAGTCAAAAAGGTATTTTTGTTTCTGAATGAGTGGTATCACAAAAACAAACTGGCGTTGTGCCCTGTTGTCTAAAGATGTCCATTTTGCATTCCCTGCAAAGAATGGCTTGCTTCTTTTTTTTTCTGTGGTTGTTTCTGGTAACAAAAACATGTTTGACTGAGTCTGAAGGCAGACCTGAGTCTTGAGTACACGAACCTATTAACAGATTTCATACTGCAGAGTGAATATTACCCTGCTGAAAATATGCAAGTGCTCAGCACTAGACTCTTTGCCAGACTAGCTAATTATTCATGGAATGCCACTTGTCAAAATGCCATCTTACTCCTACATAGAAATCATCCCCTTGGGATTGCCCCCAAGCCCAATTGGCTCAGTTAGGTGGGAAAAACTGCCCTCTTTCTGCCTAGGCTGTTCTATCTCTGTGTATTAACCAAACATGAAGCCTACAAATATTTCCTTTTATTCCTTCCTCTTCCCTTCCCTGGCCTTCACCCCACATCCTCAGGATAAAATGCAGCATATTGGGTAGATAACAAATATATTCATTTTGTTTCTAGCTGGTCAAATATTCATATGAATTTGTGGAAAGACACTGCACTGGGCCTGGATTGAGCCCAAGGACAAACATAATAAACTCAATGTTATAATAAAATTACCAGTATGCTTTGACACTTTTTAAGAGCTTTCTCACCCAAAGAGTTCCCTAAGGTGGACTCACTAGAGACAGGAATGCTAGAATATAAAGTCAGGAATAAATTAGCACATAAAGATTAGATCAACAATAATTATTTAAAAAGCCAGAGGCCACTGATGAAACAGGTAGGAAGATTTCCAACAAACAGGAGTGGACTCTTGCAAACCAGGGAGACAGGAGAAGGTAAACCCACTGTTATTTTTTTGAATCTGGAAAAATGACACCTCAGAAATGGAGAAAAAGAGATACAGAAAAGAGGAAAGGATGTGCCAGGGAGATAATAAAAAGAACTGGGATTAGAGAAAGATACATAAGAAATTGGTATGATTTTGAAAGCCTTAATACACATTTCTGAATGCAGTGTAAGGTACATTTTAAATAAAAATACTAGGTTTTGCAGACCTGTAAGGTTAAATACATGATACATTATTAGTGCCGTCTTTCCAGGATAGCCTGTCCCAATGATAGAATTAGAAGTTCAGAGAGAAATTTCCTTAGTGATATGGAATTAAATGCTCTAGAAAAGAGTATTATTGCTAATAATAGCAGTGCTTGCAGGAGTCTGGTCAAGATCTTATCTGGTTGTTCTAAGAACAGGAGGATGAATGGGGTTTGCCTCGATTAATTTTTAGGGTGATAGAAAACCAAACACAGCCATAAAGGATGTTTGAATAGAAAGGAAAATAACATTAAGGCCATGTGTTAATAGAAACTGTCTATGTCCACTTCTCTATTTTGTCTCTAAGAGACAAAAGAGAGGGGATAAATCTTTGAAAGCCCACACACAGTGCTTTGGGCTATTTCTTGATGAAATAATACATGTAGTTGAAATGAAGAAGGTGGTGTGTGCGATGGAAAGGTGTTGTTAAGCTTACAAAAAACATCCCTGTAGGAGCAAACATGAGAGAGACTTCTTGGGAGATAGAAGAGTTTCTGTTGTCAGAGCAATTAAGAGTGGAGTGGAGCTAGAAGTGGGCCAGAAGAGCAATATTATATAAAATAAAAACAGCCAAAAGGAACAAACTTGCATGAGTCATGGGGATGGAAAGGACAGGAGGAAAAGGAAGTGGGAAAGGATAAAGCAAAGAAATGGAAAACCCGTCAGAGAATGATTTTCCAGTCTGAGCTGCTGAAGCAGGGTGAAGGCATAAGCAGGCAGCATTGCTCAGCAAACCACAGCAGGTAGGAGTGGGCTTGGTGAAAGGGGCTGGGACCCCAGAGAAAGCAGGACACGAGGGGTTGGGGTGGAGAACAAAAGGCAACCAGGGCAGATGGAGAGGGTGTAAAGATGGACAGAGGAAACAGGCATGAAGATCTGTAACATACACAGCATTCCTCACAAACTGGGATAAAGCATTATCCCTGGAGCTTTGCATTTCTTGATTGTCAGGAAGTGAATGGAAACCCTTCAGCTGCTGGGTTGTGCCTGGCTGCTCTGATCCCAAGGGACTACTGTCATGGATGAGCTATGCTGGAGCACAGTTGCATGAAAAAAGCTTGGTTTAGCTTTTCTCTGCTCCTGGTATTGAACTTCACTTGTATTTGCAGCATTTTGTAGACAGGGTGATGATATGGACAGTGTGGGCTGTGTATTGACATTATTCTCCCCAGCCAGGACAAGCAATTTCAGGCTTGGCACAGAAGTTTAAGAAAAGTTTTTAAGAGAAGCTTGTTTCATCTTCACAGCAGTCACTGCTAATACCAAAGGGGCCAACATTGGATCGTCTCATAATCCAACTAATCCCACTATGCCAAGCTTTGTGTGGTCCCTCAGTTTGGTAGCAGGCTCAGAAGTCACTTTTTATGTACTGATTGCTAACTTAGTATGGGCTGGGCTGAACAATGTGCTCCGACCCCTTAATGCACTGACATATTTGACTCCTCGTAAAGCAGCTCAGCAGAAATATCTTTTTAACATTTTATATCCAATACCTGCATCTTCTTCCAGATCCTCCAAATGCAGCTCCTCCCCAAGTGAAGCCATGTTCGTTGTGGCTACTATTGTCGTCTCTTGCAGCACCTCTTCTGAGGCAAGTGTCTGGCACACAGGAGCTGGAGGGTCACTCTGCGTTGCTCTCATGGCATCATCACCACTGCAGGCTTTGCCTTCGGTATCTATAACACCAAATAATTTAATCTTAAATAAACCATAAGCAGTGAAAGCTGAAACTCCCTCCATTCTTTTGAGAAGAGTGAGTCTCAAAGCTGCTAATGCTCTCAGGGGACTAAGATTTGTCTTGGGGCAGCACCGATTTCTAACAGTGCTGAGCATCTGTAATGCAAAACTTGTGGAGACCAGCCCATCGGGATACTAATAACCACCCACTTTTCTCAACAGGGCACCTTTTTCTGTGGGCATCCAGCAGCCTGGGCAAATGGCCATCGTGCATGTACAGGAAGGCCACTGTACTCTGTAAGCACCTGCTCTGTGGGAGATGAGCACAAGCATGCAAAATCAGAGGTCTCGGAGAGAAGACAATTCCTTGCAAGAGCAGAGCTCATGGTGCAGCGCATGCACAGGTTGGTCTGACACGTCTACGTTGTGTCAGCCTCCATGCACGACACACTGCCATCCAGCTGCCCCAGCAGTAATGCCGGGGCCTTACCGAAGACAAGGCTGCTAATGTTCCCTACCAAGCTTAGGTTGTGAGCAGAGTTTTAGTTACTCAGCTTTGAAAAGCGTGTCCTGTGCAACTGAGCTGATCAGAAATTCAAATCCCTCTTCATGCAGACCTAGAAACTGCTTCCTTTGCTTACTCTGAAAGATTTTTGTGCCAGTGATCCCTGCAGCTGTACGCATCTTGATGACTGAAGCTTTTCTAGTATTCTCCTATTCAGGCAAGAGTCCTCAGAATACAAAATATCCTTTTACTTCATGACTCTCAGAATTTACAAGATCTACATCACTGTTGCAAACCAAAGCAAGCAATTACTTTCCACTCTAGCCAGTGCTCCATGCTGACGGACATGTCTGCTATCCACCCCTGACCTTCTAACTTGTATTTCTCAGCTCCAGATGTTCCTTTCTGGAAGCTCCTGACAGAGCTATGTTTTCTTGCAATGATATCATGACAAGTTTCCTGAACATCGATTTCACATAGCTGGCATTCACAGCTACTCCTTTTAATATTATTTGAACAATCTGCAGAGTAATTTATTGCCCTTTTGTATAAGGGTATCAGATTTTGGCCCAGAGATGCTGCGGAAGGGATGCAGTATTTTTGTATGCTGAGCTCACTCAGTCTGCCTCATAATCACGTTTGGTGAAAAGTTACTGTTCTTAAAATAGCCCCTGCAGTAGCACAGTTGCTATGATACAGCAAAGGGGAGGGGGAAAAAGTTCATTGCCTACATTTCAGCTCATTGTGAGGGTAGCCTATACATAATCATCGGTGTATTAACAGCTGCCTGCATTATTTGACAGGGAGCCTGCATCTCCCAGTGCTGTAGTACAGCTATATCTGATAAGTTTTGTGCTCACGGTAGGGAGAAATATGGGGGGAAGGACCATGTTTTCAAGGTAACTCTGCTTTGCAGGTTCCTCACATTCTTTGGAAGGGCAAGCTGCTGACAGCTGTGCCACAATGGAACTGCAGTCAGAGACATGAGTGCCTTCAGATCCCAGCCGATGGAAAGTGTAATGACTAATGAAGTAGCAGAAGACAGCCCTGTTGAAAAATTTCTGTTGACGAGTATCTGAGACTCACAACAGTGGTGTTCCTGGTCAGAAATGATCAGCTTGTGCTTAGATCAAAGTGGATGTGCTGCTTTGATTGGCAATGAGTCCCAACGCTGTGTTTTAGAGATAATCCAGGACAGGAAGAAAGCACAGAGTTGAGATCCACTGATAAAGACAGCAGTCTTGAGTATTGCAAAAGAATCAGAGGAAGTGGGGCTATAATGTAGTGGGGAATGAATCCCACTGTGTGCTAGACCTTGCACCCTGTAACCTCTTACAGAGCAGAGGGTGGTTCCCCAGAGCAAAGCTGTATTTGCTCTGTGTGGAGCTGGAGTGGAGAAAACAGAAGGGGGCAAGGCTGTGCAACTTGGTCTGCGCAATGTGTCTGGGCAGCTGGGTTTTGGGGTTGTGTGAGGAGAAAGGGTGACATAACCTGTTAGGATGACTCATCACCAAAGGAAGGACGGTGCAATTTCACCCTGGGCTGCTCACACACAGATTGATGCAGATTCTGCGCTAGCTTTGTGGTTTGCTCTGAGCCAAACAGTCCAGCTCAAAATGCTGCTTGACAGACCCTGTGCTGTGAAACTGGAGTGTGACACGGCTATTGTAAATGCATGAAGCAGATCTGGAAACTTCTCAGACTACAGCTTCATCCCAGTTTGGGCTATTTGTGAAAGTGAGCAGGGATCAGGTCGCTGGAAGTGGAGTAGAGCCCGATGAAATAGGGGGATTTTAGGATTTACTGTAGTCTTTTAGCATAGTATTGCTGCTCTGACAATTGTAATTTACTGCATAAATGAGGACTTAGCCTTGAAACTGCTGCCACTTCAGCTCAGTCCAAGTAGGGCACTAATCATTTACCAAGAATTATTTGGGTCAATTTTTTATTCCAGTTAATAAGCTGCTTCTACTAATAATATAATAAAGTAACCCTGGAGATTCACAACACTCTGTAAAGAAAAATAACTTGCAAGTGGCTGCAAATGTCCTTCAACTGACTGTTAGCCATGCTTTCCTTTCTGGGCAGCAGAGTGGTACTGAAAATTCGTTTGATCTTTATAGAAGCTCTGTGAAACTTTATTGCGGACAGGTAAGCAGTCTGTTTGCAGCTGCCTTTTTGAAAGCACAGCTTGGCATCACTTCTCACTGGACTATATGTATTTATTTAAATCATTTTAGTTTTGTTAAAATGATCTTGCAACTAAGCATCATCTGTTTTCCTCTTAGTCAGTTTCTTATGCATGTAAGAAGTTTATTGATTCATTATTATTATTAGTTATTACCTCTTAATGTGCTCTACAGAAGTTTTATTTTACTGTGCTTTGGTAAAGCTCTAGGTAGCCATGTCTTCAAATTCATGGGTGATGGGAACTTCCATAATCCTAGCAAAAATGGGGTGTATTTTTTCTATCCTGTAGTGCTAATATGCTAATAGGGAAACTATGTTGAATTATGAAAGACACAGAGTTCAATGAACAGAATTAAAAATGAGCTTTCTAAAAACTTTAATTTTAGAATAGACTAACAGATTTTTTTTTAACTTGAACATGAAACTCATATTAAAATACATCCAATAAAATAATATGAAAATTGCTTTACTGCAATGAAAAAAAACCCTGTTTAAAATGCTCTTTTGCTGACTCTTCTGTTGCTCAGTTACTCTCCAGCACAGCATCACTGAGTATTGTCCCACAAGCTATTTATAGGCACGGCATTTGTTTTATACAAAGAAACTCAATTATTAGTTTTAAAGAATGTAATTTCTATCTATCAGATTGGTCAAATTCAAAAGGCCAATCTTTCTTCATGACAGTACTTTCTGCTATAAAGTTTTCAATGTAAAGATGGATGTCTTCTTTTAATCTCTGTTTAAGTGGAAGTGGCAGCTGGCATGTTGTCCATAGTATTGGGGGCTCACTTGATCTCGCAGAATGTTCACCCAGATCTCTGTCTCCCTTGAGCATCAGCCAGGGCTTTGGGGCGGGGATATATAGAACCACAGTCCTTTGTGCATGTTTCTGACATTTTATCATCTTTCTAACCTGGTTTGTACTCAGGAAAGCTTTAAAATGACCCTACCAAAACCTTCACTTCTCCATGTGAATAAAAAGCAGGAAGAATGGTGCTATGTTTTGTCACAAACTTGGTTTACTGGAAAGACAGCTGAAAATATCAGATTAGTAGCATCTTATGAGATTTGAATTTATGGGTTGTACATGTTAGCTGAATGTGTCTGTATGTGTAAGTTTATATTCATACCAGTTTTAGCTGGCTTTCTTGGCAGTAGGATTTAGCTAGGTTTAGAACAATTGCATAAAACATAGGTACCAACTCAGATTTGCACCATGTATAAATTGAATGAAGATGGGGTTGCATTCAAGACGGTAAAACATCAAAAATTAAACTGCATGGATTGATTGCAGCAGGGAGGAATTTGAAGAAAGACGTGCTCAATTCGCATATTGAATTTTCCTCTTTGAAGGTTTTCCTTTTTATTGAAGGTTTTTCCTTTTCCTTAGCCCTAGCCATAATCCCTGGCCATCTTCAAGGCCAGGCTGGACAAGGCTTTGAGCAACCTGGTCTAGTGGAAGGTGTCCCTGCCCATGGCAGGGGGCTTGGAACTAGATGATCTTTAAGGTCCCTTGCAACGCAAGCCATTCTATGATTCTATGAATATTCATTTGATTTTTAGGTTTCTTCTTTTGCAATTATGTGTTTCCTATTGTACTGAAAAAGACTTTGATAAAAAAGATTAAGAATTTTTATTTACCTTGTTCCATCATCTCCAGAAGGCCTTTCTTAATGAGTTCATCCCGACCTTGTCGTGCTGTCATCTTCTTCTCCAGCACTGCACAAAGTAGTAGCATAACACAGCACCAGTTAACAGGCTATTTATAGAATGGAGTGAGAAAGATGCATTGTGGAAATTCTCTCTAGTCTCAACTACTGTGTGCTCGGAAAGAACTCCAAGGATTTTGTTTTGGGGAGCATGGACTGGTTAGCCAGTTTGTGCCTTTTCCTTTGTTAAAACAGCTGTAAAATCACTGACATGTAGAGCTGAGATTTATGATCTAACCTACTGTCTGATCACACTTCATGCAGAGTATTTGGGATATTAGAGCCTTCATGCTGTTTAATATGGCATGTAGGAGCTGACTCAGGAAGTGGCAACCTTTACTGTGACCCTCCACAGGATATTGGGGCAAGAGGAAGGAATTGCACCATCCTATCTTAGGAAAAGGCAAGTGAGTTTGATTCCTTACTGATCTCCTGGGACATCCCTGGAGACTAGTGAGAGCATGCAGTGCTGTGTGCTGGGCTCCTTCACCGCAGAGGCAGCTGCTTGAGGGAAGGCATTTTACGTGTTGTAGCTCCCTCCTGTCAGTTTTCATAACGTTACTGTGACCTATATAATCTTCACCCCAAATAAAAGGGGTGATGATACTTGGGGCCATAAATGTAGCTTATTTTGGAGAAGGGACAGCCCATGAAAAGCAGTCTGTGTCGAAGCTTCTTTCATATTTTACCTTTTCTTCTAAGTGTAAATATTGCAGTATATAGGAAGTCAACCTATATGGGCTGTTTCTAGCCTTAAATATTATTAACCTGTAACACACTTAAATCTCTGAATTAGGTTTAGATGAGGTCACCATTAAAATTTCCTATGATGTAAGCAAATTTTGCCCAAGTTAAGCTGTGCCCTGTGCAGCATCCTCTTATTCTCATCCTACCTGCAGAAGTCTGCTTTAGCTTCTCATTTTTCTTTTTCCGCCACTTCCATGGTTTGAAGATCCTGCCCAGTGTTGCCAGTTTGCTGTTCCTCCTCACTGGTGGAGTTCGAATCCCTGAGACCAAGTAGTCAGAACGCATTGCAGGGGACTGCTCCATCTCATCTAAGAAGGGGAGAGAGGAAAGCCAGCTGTTAGACAAAAAGCACAGATTTAAGAGGGGAGGCAAATGGAGGCTCACCAGCTAACAAGCACTCCATCTAGTCACCAGCGGAAGACTTGGAAAGAAAGTCTCTGCACTGCTGGAGCCTACAGCCAGGCTGAGGGACGCCAGCCAGAGCCATTCAGCCTTGCTGTACCAGCCCCATGGTTCCTGCCAGCTGCTCTCCTGATTCTGGTCTTGCATAGTACCTGTCTGGATGCCAAATAGTACAGTATCTCCACTGCTGCTGTCCCTCAGGGATTAATCGAGGTTATTAGGCCCATAGAGTGGGGGATGTGCTGTAGTTGTACATCCTATGCTTTATTCCATTGCTTTCCTACCTTTGTCCATTCCTGATACTCACCGAGGTAATGGTGTTACTCTCCCTCCCAAGGGCTGTGTGTAATTGTATTACAGCCTTCTGAAACATGGGGAGCTGAGAGCTCCCAACAGCTGTAGTAGGAGCAGTAGAAATTTAACACATCTGTATATCAGGCCCATGCGGCCTCCAGTTAATCACATAAATGTAATGTTCATTTAGAAAAATTTAGACTTCTATAAAAAGCTGAGAGGAAGTGTGAGAAAGCTCAGGTCCCTTCTGAATTCCCAGCTTCCACTTCTGTTCTTAGGCCACAGGATATTGCTGCCTTTTAAATGAACTCTTTTCACATAAGCTAACACAGAACACACTGACTTGTGTGACCTAATGCAGATCTTTATGTAAGAACAGTTTGTTTGATATATGCTACGTAAGTAAAATCCTAGAACTATTGTGCACATTTATTCCTTGAGGAAGCTAAAGGGAAAATTCTTTTCCTTTTGTCCAGCCAAGCCACAGGAATTCAAAGATAATACTTAAGCTGGAAAAGCGATTTAGGTATTTTTAATATTTTTTCTTGAAAATACACTGTAGGTTTTGCTAATAGACAAGTCTGGCACGAAACAATACATACTGACTATTCACTGTTCTGTATTACCCAGTACCATGAAAGAAAGTAGCACAGTTCCATAAATGGGGTTATTGATGGCTATACTGAGCTTTGTATTTGAGCACCAATACAGTGATTGTTAGAAGCTGCCGTCAGTCCTCAGACATGTTACATGAATAAAACCTGAATGATAATCTGTGGTTTTTTTCAACAATCAGTTATGATTTTAAATGAGCAATGTGGAGCTATGAACATATGCACATTTCCAAGCAATTTCACTTTGAACAACAACATTTATCATAAATTGCTTTATGACTGCAAGATAAAAAAAAATATACAATATCTTCTAGGCTTTGTTTTTAAGTTAACAGGGTGAAAATGCTTAAATCACAGTGTGGAGGTGGGGATTTCCAAGTAAACAGGAAACAATTTTTGGAAGATTATTAAACTCATCAGGGGAATGAAGACATTCCTCCTCTTCCATTTAATTTTGAAAATACTGGTAATAGAGATGAATCATTCAGTGGAGACAAACTAAAAACTTGGCCACCCCCCAACCCATTGTGCATGCACCGTGAATTTCTCTTTCTGTATACTGACTTTGGAATATCTTTTCTCTCATTCCACAGAGTTTTTCTTGGAGTTTAATTTAGAAGATGTACTTTAAGATATATTTTTGCCTTTGAAAGAATGGTGTGTACCCAAGGTGGTATTTATGATTTACAGACTGAGGGTCAATACTGAGAGCAGAAACTAGCAATGAGCCTAGCACAGGACAGCAGTAGCCTACAGACCACGGCCAGAGTGCCAAGAGAGCAGGCTCCTTTCCTAATTGCATATTCAAAAATGAGAAGTATCGCAGAAATAAACCTTGAAGAAGTAGAGCTGCTCGTGATTATAGAGATGGCAATAAGAATGGAAAATGGCAGAGTAGATCTGCTCTTAATTTGCTATTATGATTACTTTAAAGCTGTAATAGAAACCTCAGAAAATCATATTTGGCCATTTCTTGTGACATCCCCTCAGTGGGAATGGAAATGTTCACAAAACTAACTCATCTCAAAAGAACTGTAGATCAGATTGTAAATCAGACCCTTGTCCCTGGAAGCTAGAGTGGAGTAAGAAAGCCTAGGCTTAGCCATGCCTGGAGACCAGTGGAGACTGCACTGGTGCTCAAAGACTTCCTACCATCACAGGAGTTTCTCAAGCATGTAAGTGAAGATTAAATAAGAAGCTGATTTAAAGCAGTACCTTGGCAAGTTACTGATCCTACTACATTTCATTCAGGATGTAGGTGTCTGCAGAGTGGTTTAGGCATCATCCACATGTTTTCTTAAACACTGGTAGCATGAGATCATTTTGCCTTTTTTGCCAGATAGCAGTGGATGCAAACAGAACCAGGAAGTCACTCAAGCCCAAACGTGTGTGTCCCTAGTAATGTTTATTATCCCAGATATTCCTCTAAGAAAGAGAATGGAGAGATATTGTCCTAAGTGCCCTGTGGTGATCAGTGCTTCTGTAGTTTCTACCAGCCCTGTCAATTGGATTTCTTTCATACCCTTCTGCCCTCTTGGTTGTGGAAATGTAAGGATTTTATGCCTTAGATTTTGCTTAAAGATGAAATACAGATAGAAATCAAATGTCAAAGAAGGAATAGTAGGTAAAACAAATGTTCCAGTAGAGGTTTTTGTGGGCTTTTTAACTTTATTAATGCTTCTCATATGGTACAGACAGTCCTTAAGCAAATGGTTTTATCACCTGGTACATTCTCACCATATGCAGTTCCTACACTCTGCATTTGGAGAGATGGACACAAATAAAAATAGATAGAGATACAGTAAGACAGATGTCCTGAAGTCATAAACAACAAGGAAATTGTCTCACTGGCAGTAAGAATCACAAGAAAGCCCTTGGAGCTCCTCATTTCCAGTCAGTTCAGTTTTTTCTTGGTTGTGGGTTGGCTGCTTGGGAGATAAGAAGTTGACAGCACAAAAAGCAGTTCCCACGTACAGCAATGAATACTGAAGGAGAAGGCACACCTAAATATCAGCCAGTTCCTGCAGCCAACAAGCTGCCAAGGCTTGCCAACCCTCCAACCACTCTGTGAAATATTCAGCACTTTTTCTTAATCTGCAGTCAATATTTTAATTATGCTAACTGTTCTGTGGAGTAATGTGGTCGCTCCTAGAGCCTGATAGCCTGGGGCCAGGCCGTGCATTTACATAGAGGATGGCTGCAAAATATAAACAGCCGAGAGCCAAATCAAGACTCCATATCAGCAAGGGGAAATGAGCTTAACTAGCTGTGTAATGTGGAAGGATGAGGGACAGTTGTTATGTGGGATCAAGCGAGCACAAGCTTAACCCACAGCACGGCAACCTAACCCTGCCCAACACAGAGAGGCCAGGCCCTGCTTGGCCATCACTGCTGAGACAGACCAATTGGTCCCACACTGTCCCACAAGGTGATAGTTCTCAGCCTTGCAGGGCCAGAGCATTTTGCTCTGACTGAAGCTGGTAGGCTGGTTGTATAGAAATTACTTTCAAGTCCCTGCTGTACCCTATTGAGGGTAAAGGCTTCTGTGCCAGAATTCCAGATCCAAAACTAGCCCCTCATACACCACAAAGTTGTAATCTGCCCTGTGTGTGTCAAAGGGGTGGAAATGAATGTGGCTGTGCCCCTACTGCTGATGCTGGGCAAGTGCTTCTTACAGTGCTAGCTGGGTTCAGTTCAAGAGCTGCTAACACTGCTCAGGAGTGTGAATGGCTTCCTGTCAGAGACATGGCAAATCAGATGAGGGGAGAGGTTCTGACCTGACAGGTATAGCTCTGCAGTACTGCTCTGGGCTGCAGAATAAACCAGGCAACAGAGAAGAATGAAACAAATCATAATATTCATTACATTTGGCTGCAGGGTCTGACCCCTCAGAAAGTATGAGCATCTGCAGCCTCTGTTTACATCAGCAGCAGTTGTGGTGGTCAGTGTTTCTGAAAAATGCTCGATTGTTTTCTTCTTCAAAGTATTGTGGTGACATAAGTACAATACTCTTCCTGCTAGTCCCTTCTTTATAGGAATTGTGCATGTATCATGCAATTTTTCTGTACATAACAACATTCCTATTTACAGATGTCAAGTTCTGACTCTGTCCCATCCAGACTCCTACAGAAGTGGGGCAGAGAAAGTACTGTGCAGTGTGTGTCCTGGATGTGTGATGGAAGGGTACCCTGTGCCTGCACACAGCCTTCATTTGTACAGCAGATGGTTTTGGTGCTGAGACAATCATGTCTGGGTGATAAGTGTTGTGAAATTGAGCGTTGGGTTCAGTTAGTTGGGTCTATCTTCTTGAGTTTTTCATGATGACCCAAAGAGTCTGTAGCTTGATGCCTGGGCTGCTGATTACAGGAACTGCAGGCTGCACGCTGCAGACTGATGTATGGCAGTTGGGAACAGTTATACTGGCCATGCCAAGGAGACAGGCTGTGAGAGACATGGGATGCCCTTTCGTGAGTACGCAAATTGCAGCAAGAAGTTTATGGGAAGATGAAGGATGCTGAATTTTAATGTGCTGGGACTTTTGGTAACTTAAATTTTTGGTAATGGCAGTTGTGGCTGGCTAAATCCTCTGTGTACACTGTTAGGAGAAGGACCGCTGGAAAATCTGCAACCTGCAGGCAGTTTAAAAATAACACAGCAGACAAGAGCTGCAGGCAAATGTGTAAGGCAGGCGTGCTCTGTTTTCTGATGAATTGGTTTGTAATGCAGCTCTGCATGTTCTCCCCTTTATTGTCATTGCATCTGTCTCTGCAACTCAGATACAGAGTTAAAAAAGGAAAAAAGGTTCCCTTTGGTCCACTCCAGAGGGCAGAGACAGTGAGTGGAATCAAAATGACCTTTTTAGCTTTTGGGATAGAGGTGCCTTTACTGCTAATAACTTTCAGTGCTTCTTAGAATTAGTGTCTGCCTCTAAAAAGGATGTTAAGGAGGATGTCACAGGGAAAGCTGAGCTTTTAAAGGGGTTATGTCTGCTAC